TCTTTATATACTGTACTGGTGCACATGCTGTGCAATTTACTTTCACTCCCATAGGACTATTACCGCACTACAGTGTTTCAAAATAAGCATTTTATACCCCAAAAATACATCAAATTTAATTGTTAGATATGTTAGATAAGGGGAAGTTGTGGCTTAATGGTTAGAGAGTCGGACTCGTAACCCAAAGGTTCGTACCGGCAGGGATTGTAGGTGTGGGGGGGGGGATGTACAGCGCTCTCTCTCCCACCTTCAATACCACGACTGAGGTGCCCTTGAGCAAGGCACCGAACCCCCAACTGCTCCCCTGGCGCCGCAGCATAAATGGCTGCCCACTGCTCCGGGTGTGTGTTCACTGCTGTGTGTGTGTGTGTATTCACTGCTGTGTGTGTGCACTTTGGATGGGTTAAATGCAGAGTATGCGCTAATTCCATGTATGGGTCACCATACTTGGCCACATGTCACGTCACTAGCAAACTGCTAAATACTTGCCATAATATGAATAACTGTCAGTGCATTGTAAAGAACAAATGGGTCCAATCTTGCTTCTGCAAGACAAGTTTCCACAGAGTTTATCCCTAATGAAACACACCTAAACCAGCTAATCAAGGTCTTCAGGTTTATTAGAGAAGGTGGAGCTAAACTCTGCAGGCTGGCCCTCTGGGGAGCAGGACTAAACACCATTGGTACAGAGTTTTAGTCCTGTACATGCTCTCCAAAAACTGCAGGTTTATTGCACTTGCCATGTGATATATAATGTATCCCTCTTGTCAGGCTTTATGATACTTTAGTTCTGTGTCTGGAATCATGCAGGCTCACCAGCAGCCTCAGGAGGAGCTCATGGAGAAGGGTAATGAGGAGGTTGATGATCACAATGCTGAGATCCCAGCAGGCCAATCCAGCAACCCAGAACCAGACTGCATCATCGGATGCACAGACCAACAAGGAGAACTCATGTTCCTCATCAAGTGGTAAAATTTCTACACTGGACTATATGTGGGCTTTCTTTACACTGCTTTATTCATTTTGAATGCAGTAATGCCATTTTTGTATTTTAATCAATGCATAGAATGTTTTTTTTTTCTCAGATCATGCATTGATACACACCTAAATGTTAACATAGCTTTAATGCTTTACATCACATTGCCTGAACTAGCAAACTGTTTAGAAAAGCAACAAGCTGATCAAAATAGCAGCACATTGATGTCAGGTGCTGACATTTCCACAGTGTCAGAGTTATTATAAAACTAAAACATTACTTGGAATAAAATAAACAATAACTGAAATAAAATGATTTATATATTATTAAAAATATATATTGATATTTTAAATCAGTTTTTTATATTTTACTTTTAGTAATTTCTAAATGCACTGTATTTATTATATGTAATTATTATTTTTTATTAGATTTAGGTTTTTTGAATATTGAAATATATAACCTTTATTTTTATTTCAGTTTTAGTCGTTTTAGTACTTTTAGCAATTTTTAAGTATTTCTGTTATTTGCCAAGTTTTTTGTCTAATATTTATATTTTATTTCAGGTTTATTTCAGTTGGTTAAAAAAAATGTTTTAATAGTTTTAGTTAATACTGTACTGTTATGTTAATACTATTCCTTTCCTTTCATGTCCACGGCTCCTCTTCAACACATAAATAGAGAGAAAGATCAAAAGCAACCTCACATTAAAAAAAAAAAGGATAGTATACAATGTTATTTCCACTAATCCACCACTGCAGCTGCTGATTATGTGCTTTTAATTTGCTGTATTTGTCCATTAAGACGCATCATCATTTCTTTATTTCAGGAAAAACACAGATGAGGCGGCTTTACTGTCAGCCGGAGAGGCCAGTAAAAGGTGGCCCGAGATGGTGATCCGCTTTTACGAGGACAAGCTGACCTGGCATGGAGAAGACGAGCAATGAGAGAGAGAAATGTGTAGCAGTGGATACTACTGTACCTCCTGGCAGCTTTAAACATACACAAACACTGTGGCATAAGTTTACCGTTTGATGTACTGCGTATTCAAAGTGTGTGAATCCACACTCCAATGTGAAGCTCTTCCCAACACACTAATCTGTAGAAATGTGACTGGAGTACTAGAGCTCTGCTGTAGTGTATGGTTTTACAAATCCGCTAAGTGTTTTATTAATCAGATGTTGTTGTAGCTCTTGGTCTGTTGTTTGAAAGTTCATTTGTGATGTTTATCGTTCTGTCCTCTTTGTTACTATGATCTGAACTGTGATTACACATAGGAGATGACGACAGATGGTACAAAACCTGTTGGAGAGGAACTGTTTGGTGTGTAGATGTACTAGCCGTACTATTAACCCCTGGTTATGCACTTATTCAAGTTATACTGTGATGATCCTGTGATCTGCGAGGGCTTAGTGTGAATTCATAGATTTGCACAAAACAAATTCTAGAATGTAGCCTATACAATCACGTTTTTGTGAACATCAACACTTCAGTTGTAGGTCAGTGTCAGTTTCATAGCAGTAGTATAAACAGGGCATTGAGGTTTTTGTGTTAAAGGCGTTTGTCCTGCAGTTTCGATCTTCTGGTTTCCTGTTTTCTGTAAAGATCACTGTTTAACCTTTAATCTCGAGTGAGCGATCTCTAGGTGCTTTAAATAAACCTAAAATTACCTCAGAAGTGTTGTGATTATTCTTATGTTAAATTGCAGTTGTCTGTAAAAAGTGTCTTAAAGGGTTAGTTCACACAAAAAGGAAAATTAGTCCATAAATTACTCATCCTCAAGTCATCCTAGGTGTATATGACTTTCTTCTTTCAGACGAATCCAGTCGGAGTTATATTAAAAATGGTCTAACTTGCGCCAACAGTTGTACACGGAAGCAGCTCCGGGTGGATGACGAATGAGTTCAGCGTTGCGCATGCGCCAGTGAGACTTGTGAAAACCAATGTTTGTTTACAGGAGCAAAGGAAGCAAAGTTTCCTTACTTTAGCAAAGGAAAACCAGTCTCCTCTTGGCTTATATCGAAATCCTTCGACATTCTTCTTTACAAATCCTCGTTTTGTACTTTTAATTATTAGTGACCGTTGTTTCTTTTATGATCTCTCCCCTGCGCTTCCGTTCTCGTCACTTCTGAGCGGCGCATGCGCAACGCCTACGTCATCCGCTCAGAACTGCTTCCAGTGTACAACAGTGAGCCCAAGCTACATTAAAGTGATTATTACATTTTGAATATGGATATTTTTCTTACAAAAACGCATCGATTCGCTACAGAAGGCCTTTGTTTACCCCCCCCGGAGCCGTGTGAGACACTTTTTTTTATGGATGGGCGCTTTTTGTTTAACTTCTTTTGGACGGATGCAATGCTACACCCGCTGATTGCCATGAAACAGCTTGAAAGATCAAAGACAATTTTTTTATATAACTCCAAATGGATTCGTCTGAAAGAAGAAAGTCATATACACCTAGGATGACTTGAGGGTGAGTAATTTATGTTGATTCGCTACAGAAGGCCTTTGTCCCCCCCCCGGAGCCGTGTGAGACACTTTTTTTTTTTAATGGATGGGCGCTTTTTATTTAACTTGTTTTGGACTGAAGCATGCTACACCCGCTGATTGCCATGAAACAGCTTGAAAGATCAAAGACAATTTTTTATATAACTCCAAATGGATTCGTCTGAAAGAAGAAAGTCATATACACCTAGGATGACTTGAGGGTGAGTAATTTATGAGCTTTGGGTGAACTAACCCTTTAAATCAAATAACTATGAGTGTAGCTACCTTTGGTTAGTTTTATTTTAGTATCACTGAGATACTTTTATAATGTTGTTATTTAATTTCATTTATATTGTAATATTCCGAATTTGTTTTGAAAGAAGAAAGTCATATACACCTAGGATGACTTGAGGGTGAGTAATTTATGAGCTTTGGGTGAACTAACCCTTTAAATCAAATAACTATGAGTGTAGCTACCTTTGGTTAGTTTTATTTTAGTATCACTGAGATACTTTTATAATTTTGTTATTTAATTTTATTTATATTGTAATATTCCAAATTTGTTTTTACACTACCAGTCAAAAGTTTTTGAACAGATTTTTAATGTTTTTAGAATGTTAGAGAAGTTTCTTCTGCTCACCAAGCCTGCATTTATTTGATCCAAAGTACAGCAAAAACAGTAACATTTTAAAATATGTTTATTACTTAAAATAACTTTTCTATTTGAGTATATTTTAAAATGTAATTTATTCCTGTGATTTCAAAGCTGAATTTTTAGCATCATTACTCCAGTCACATGATCCTTCAGAAATCATTCTAATATTCTGATTTACTGCTCAAAAACATTTATTATTATTAGTTTATTAGTCAGGTTTCTTTGATGAATATAGAAAGTTCATAAGAACAGCATTTATCTAAAATAGAAATCTTTTGTACTGGAGTAATGATGCAGAAAATTTTCATTCATTCATTGTTTTATTTTTTGTCATTTGTCTATATATTTTTTCATATTTCAGTTTGTTATTTTTGTACATTGCTACACTAAATGAAAATGAGAAATCTTGCTTTAGAAACTAGCTGAAATTATTTTTTTAACATTTTATTTCAGTTAACATTTATTTTATTTCCATTAATGAATATGTTATATATAATTTTTGCTAAATATAATAACCCTGTAACCTATCTAATATCAAGAGGTTTGAAAAGCTGTACATGAATAACTGTTTAAGTACTGCTAGTTGTTTCAAACATGCAGGTGTTATGATTATGGTACCCATTTTTTCCAGCTGCTTTTTCCTGCTCCTTTTATGTTTATGGCAGTGCTAGTCTGCTATGTCTCTGGTGGCTGGTAAAAATGAAGCACCGCTGTCCGTCAGAGACACAAAATGAGCTTGGATGTTTTTCCCCAGTCTACAGTTCCCATGAATCAGCCCCAGTTGGTCAACGAGACCAATGTCTCATGAAAACACTTCCCTTTTTATTCTTCCCATTTTTTTTAAACCTCTGAGTACTGGTTATGTGTCCTTGTCCAATGTGAGTTTGTGAGCGTATGCGTGAGGTCTTTTCCAGCGTTCTTGGACTTATGCAGGAATTCACTGGCGTGTGGGTGAGGGATCCTCGCATCCAGAAAGAGGATTTCTGGCATGCTTACATGGATTATGAAATCTGTATACATGTAAGTACAATCAGAACATATGATACAAAGTGGTCAAAACAGATGGCAGAAACTTCCTGATCATTCTTTATATTTCACATTCATTCAGACAAACAGTCTGGCCTTCACTAAGAAGAGTTCCTGTGTGCGGCGGAGATACAGCGAGTTTGTGTGGCTAAGACAAAAGCTACAGGAAAATGCTATGCTCATGTATGTAACCATTACATCCTGTTATTGTTATTTACTTTGTTCAGAATTTGTTCACTTATGGTTAATCGTTTGTAATCGGGTCAATGATGTAAAACAGCGTCTATGAAAATTGAAAAACCCAAGTTTTTAGACATAAACCCTCTGTATATCAATTTTATTGATATCCTTTATTATGCATTATGTTATCTGGACAGAAATTAACAACATGATAATCATAGAAGGTGTACTGAACAATGAATGAAAGAATGAATCATTTTATTGAATGTATTTTTTCAATAAAAAAAGTCACTCTAAAATTTTTTTATTTTGATACAGAAATTAAAATCATGATCATCATAGTAGAGGTGTATTGAAGTCATTGTATATGTGCGCATTACATTTTTTATGTTTTTTTTAATTAATTAAAATTAATTAATTTGAACATCGCTTTGACCCAATTTGTATCCCAGTTAATATAAATACAAATTACTAATTGTTGCGAATTACTAGGATTGTTTTAGGTTTATTTATATACCATTTTAGTATTTATAAATATTCATTAAATTAGCTTTTATTTTTATATTTCAATTTTCATTTTAATAAATTTTTGTAATTTTTCTTCAAATTTGTTTTCCCTTTATTGGTCACACTTTTGTTTGGGGACCAATATTAACTAACTATTAACTATGACTTTTGCTTCAATAAACTCCTTGCTACTTCTACTAATTCTTAATAGTTAGTAAGGTAGTTAAGTTTAGGTATTGGGTAGGATTAGGGATGTAGAATATGGTCAGGCATTATGTGCTTTATAGATACTAATAAACAGTCAATATATGCTTACTAGTAGCGGTAATATGTATGCTAATAAGCAACTAGTTAATAGTGAGAATTGGTCCCCCAACTAAAGTGTTACCTTTTTATTTTATTTCAGCTTTATTGTAATAAACAGAAACATTTTATACATTTTAGTTAACAATACTGCTAATTACCATATTAGGCAGCTGTATTTTAGACATATTAAAGTTTCACTCATTGAGCAATTTTCTATGTGACAAATGAAAACTCAACTTCTGTTGTTGTTTCTGAATTGCAGAACACATCTACCCAAACTTCCTCCAAAAAACCCGTTCTTCAGTCTCAACAATGCCAGAGAGATCGGAGCCCGTATGGAAGGGCTCAGGAAATTTCTAGAAGAGTAAGTATCCAAATAAAACTAAAGAACAAGATACATACAACAGACATAAAACCATGACTGAAAGAATACGTTTAGCTTGAGAACATGTGACGTATCTCAGTATTTCATCTCTTGAATCTCAAAAAATACAGTAACTGAAATGCTTATGGTTTCTGTGATCAGTTACTGTATATACTTACATCCTCAAGGGTGGTTCACAGCCCGGTGCTGCTTTCCGACAGCTGCTTACATCTCTTCCTACAGTCCCAACTAAGTGTGAAAAAAATCGAGGCCTGTGCTGAAGGCCGAAGTCGCTACACTGTCTCTGAGGCCATTCACAGTTCCGGCTCAGGAAACAAACGCTTTGAATCTCAATCTGAAGGGAGCATGGAAGAAGAGGACGATGTGCACTGTGAATCAGAGTGATAGACTCTTTTCTACTAAAAACATAAAGACATTGCTGAGGAACAATATTCAACAATGAAGATTACAGCACATGAGGAGAGACAATGGAACAGGAAAAAAGTTACTATCATTGCTGAAACGGTGTTGTTTTGTCTCGCACTCATACTTTCTGTATTGATGAAGATAACCTAATAAATTCAATTATTTAAACCACATGTGGACACACATTAATGTCTTCCTTGGCAATCAAGTGAATGTATAAAAGCATAATGTGGCCTGTGTGGAAGACAGTTTGTTGCTAAAACTACAGATGTGCGCTGAGAGGTTTACAAGAGGGAATTTATGCTTGTGTCTGAAGTCCCTTAAACGCAATAACCCCATCCTAATAAGCAAATACAGAGCATTAAGACATTACGTGATTTAAACACGACCTTACAGAGCTAAATCCTAATAATAATCTCTACTCAAACTATTTTATTGCCATACTTAGCCATACAAGATCATTGTCTGGATGTCATACAAATTGTGCCTTCTCATAAATATTTAACAATCGTGTGAGGCCACACATGACCAGCAGATAGCGACGCAGCTCTTCTGTCTTTCCATGACTGGACCGTCTCATACCTGCAAAATCATAAACGTTTCATCAAAGAGAAAAAGCCCTCAAAGCTAGCAGTATTTTCCCTTTTTCAAATCGTCCACTGCTTTCACAGGCTTTGACTGGGACATCAAATCATCAAGACATTTTAGAACAGGAGGATAAAGGTATTCTTTCGCCACACGCAAGAGGTTTAAAATATAGCCATTAAAATAAGGGCCACGCGAGCATTATCCAATAAACTAAATTATATCTTAAATCATCAAGGCAAACATATATTTTAGGTCACAACAAAGGGTCATGGTGTGGCTGGTTAGTATGGCCTTACAGTTTAAAAATAACTACCCTTACGAAAAAGAAGTTTATTCAAGTGTGCTATTAGTATACTTCTTTTAAACTAAAAATAGGAAAGTATACTTTTAATCTACTTGTTATGTACTTCTCAGAAATGGGCTTTATGTACTTCTCAGAAATATACTTAAAATGACATTTAAGTAAACTTGACTTATACTTAGAAAAAGTCTAAATACATTTTAGCTATACTTGTGTTCCTAGAATCCGTGTTTTCATTGTTATACTGTAGGGGGTGCTAGTACACATCTTCTGTACATAATTTCCAAAAAAACACAAGTGAAGAAGAAACCGAAACAAGCAACATATGCTTCCACATGTATTCTAACACGATCATCAGACATAAAACAGTATCAAAACTGTGTAAAGTTGATGTAATGTCGACCAATGAAGAGGTAATACTAACTGTCAAGCTTTGGGGTGTTGATCAACTTTATCTACGTTTTGATTATCATTCTGAATCCAATTCATAGTCTTTTTTCAGCTTTTTGTTCAAAATGTTGTTTATTTTTTATTTATGAAACTTATCCACATTCAAGTGTGCATGTAAACTATCACTATACCTATAAGTTCACTTTTAGTATAGTTGCAGTACAAACTAAACATGTTGATGTAAATTAGTTGTGTACACTTAAAAGTATACTTTTATATACTAGAAAGTGGGCCAATTTAGTCCCAATGAGTATTGAAATAGTACACTTACAAGTATACTACTAGTACACTGATATTTGTATACTTACTACATAAAGTATACTTTAAAATATACTTGAACTTTACTTAAGTATACTTACTAAAATAAACTTGAAGTATACTACTTTTTGGTAAGGGTAATCACATAACAGAAGTATATAGAATAGAAAAATAGCATAAAAACATAGCCTGTTCTTCAACGCACATGCGCATATGCTTTACCCCAGTAAAATCTTTACTAATAAATCCTAATTTTACGAATTTTCTGCCGCTAGAGATTACCATATAGGCCTACCCAGTCAATAAAAATGTGTTTTAATAACGTTTTTCTAATGTTCCGATTAAGTTATGAAAACGTTATTGCTAAATGTTCTCTTAACGTTCAGAATTTTGTTTTTTAAATGTATTAAAAACATTTTTGTTTTTACGAGTGTTAAGAGAACGTTCAAGTTTATCATTTTGCAAACATTATGGGAATGTTAGGCTATACGTTTGAATGTTCTCTGAATATTTTTAAGTAGCCTTGTAACAATAAAAAAAAAAGTGAGACGAATCTCCCAACTACATTTCAGAAAACGTTCCATGAACGATGTCTAAATAATGTTTTTGTGCTAGAAGAACGTTTGATAACTCGCCAGAACGTTCTGAGAATGTTCACTGTTAGCTGGGTAACAGCCTGGTAATTATTTTCTATGATAATATTTACGCAATGTCATGTGTGTTTTCTTTCAGTTGTTTACAATCAGAACTAGCAATTCATGAATACTAATTAATCTAAACAGTCAAACAGCTTTGCAAAAAGGTCTCAAACGGTTTGATTCATTCGCACAGTTCACTTACACACTGAAGTAGTTTGTCTTATGGTAACAGGATACTTTATGACAGAAAAAAAATAACACTGATGTTATTTACATACAATCTGTATGAAACGAACTTGCAAATGTCTTATATCATGTGTTAGCAATGAAGCAGCTCTTAATTGCACATGCAGCTTGTGAACTATGGGCTGGGGGTTGAGAGAGATGGGAAGGTGGGTTGCTAAAATTATGGTGCTAATATTTCAGTAAAATAGATGTTTTACCAATACCCAATTGTTTTTTGTTGGGCTTTATTCTTAATTAAATCGTTAATTAATTTGATCTCATTTTAGTCCGATCTGGCAACAACACCAATAGTGTGAATTTGCAAATCTATCTGATGACCCTATAGAGGCACAGAAATTACACACTTCAGCTTAAAGAAAGAGTCACATTGACACTTTCACTAAAAAGACATTCCCTCACCCCGTCTCCTCCCGTCTTACTTGTACCTCTCACACTGCAGGCAAAGGCTCATATGTGCAGAGTCGCCCAACAGGTTGAAATGTTCCTCTAATCGCCTGCCCCCTGAACATCACTCGCCACGGCTCCCCTAAGAACCCTGACGGCCAGCTGCTGCTGTCTCTCTAACGATGGAGACCGTCTTAATAGGCTCTGCACACACTCAGCTGCCTGATAGCAGCACTGGCAGCACCGGGCCTGAGACTCCCACTGGACGCACAAATACCAGTAAAAGAGGCTGGAGGTGTGCATGCGTCAAACAGACAAGCCACTCTAACGGTTGTATGGGGGCAATACCATGTTGACAGGCAGAGTCCCAGTGCAGGCTGCTGTGTTTGTTAATGTCAGCGGCCTGTCATTCTGTCCACCTTCCGAGATGACGTGTTTGGCCCTTACTGTGACATTTTCATGAGGTGTTTTATTTATTAAGCAGGCCAGTCAGAACAACTGAAACGTGATATTTGAATTATACTGTAACACCTAAAGCATCTGTTTTTCCATGAGCTCCTTCAGTTGTTTAATCCAGTAGTGAATCATGTTGATTCACCAGATAAAGAAAAATCTTTATCTGGTGAATTAAAAAAAAAATTACTTTATAGAATTTCATTAACACTCTTAAACTGCACTTGGATTATGTTACTATCTATTTCATACTTTATTGCTGATTTGAAATGTTTTTGAAATGTTTTGAGGGTCTTTCCTCATTTAATTATTCAGGAGCTGTACTTAAATGCACTTCCAAGATGGCTGTGTACTGACTGGATTTTTTCTTTGAATTGCATTGAATTTGCACTTGCAGTGTACTTAAAAATCTTTATATATATAAAAAAAATTTACTTCATAATTTAATATCAATTAAATAAATTCCTCTTAAGCATACATTTTCATGTCTTTTTAAACTTTCATTTGCATTTTTCATTTTAAATGCATTATATATGCAGTGGGTAAAATAAGTATTGAACACATCACCATTTTTCTCAGTAAATATATTTCTAAAGGTGCTGTTGACATGAAATTTTCACCAGATGTCGGTAAGATCCCAAGTAATCCATACATACAAAGAAAGCAAAACAAATAAGTTACGAAATTAAGTTCTGTGTAATAAAATGGAATGACCCGGGGGGAAAAGTATTGAACAAATGAAGAAAGGGAGGTGCAAAAAGGCATGGAAAGCCAAGACACCAGCAGAAATCTATCAGTAATTAGAAAGCAATCCTGCCCCTTGTCAGTGGAAATTAATATTAGCTGGTTTAGTCCCAAATGATGGCCTATAAAAAGGTGTCTCATTACCAACGTGTCACACAAGAAACATTTCATGATGGGTAAAAGCAAAGAGCTCTCTCAAGACCGTCACAACCTTATTGTTGCAAAACATACTGATGGCATTGTTTACAGAAGGATTTCTATACTTCTGAATGTTCCAGTGAGCACTGTTGGGGCCATAATCCGGAAGTGGACAGAACATCATTTCACCATAAACTGACCACGACCAGGTTCTCCTCACAGGATTTCTGACAAAGCACTGATGTGGACATGGTTGATATTCAAATGAGAGCGCCATTCACCTGCTGAAGACAGACCAGTCCAATTATGGGCTTAGGGCAGAGACCAGGTCCAGGAATAGGGCAGATACACTATTCCACTTCCGTTATTTCCAGTCTGGAAAAGATTTTTTAGGAAAAATCACCTCGCATGATGTTGAGAAAACTATGGTGAACGCATCGTTAAAGGGGACATCGGATGCCCATTTTCAACAAGTTGGTATGATTCTTTAGGGTCTTAATGAAATGTCTGCAACGTACTTTGGTTAAAATTCCTCAATGGTCATGTAAAACAACACCTTTTTACTTTGTCAAAAACAGCTCTGTTCACAGCAACCTGTTTCGGTGCATGTCTCTTTAAATGCTAATGAGCTACTGCTCACCCTGCCCCTTTCTTCCGTTTTTTTGTGTATTTGATGGCCCTTTAACATCAGAAACAAAACTAATCCACTGCGCCCTCAGTGGCTCCTATGTTCACTTTCAACATCCAACTACAAAGCACCTGCATTGCTTACGAGACATTGTTGTCATTATAGCTGCTTGAGCGCACAGAAAATGGCGGACAGCGTACAACTGACTGAGGGCGGAAATATGCTAATTGACAGCTCAGACAACAGTTCGACAGCTCAGAAAATCAAAATGGCCTGATAAATGAGACTGTTTAGGTTTTTTGGGGATTAAAAAAACATACTGCT